AGGCATGTGCAGCAACTAGCACCCTCTGAGGCTGAGGTGGCATTGCTCAATCTCACTCCATGGCTCTCCGGTAGGAAGCTGGCTGACTGAAGTCTGCAAGTCCAGTACTTGCCTGCGGCTAGGCTAGTTAGCTGCCTGGTGACGCTGGTCAGATGTGCCTTTTGTGGCCATAGCTTGTAGAGGCAACAAGGTGTTAGCTAAGGCATGGCTAATTGAAGTTTTCCTCCTTCTTAGGAGCAGAATAAATAAATGAAGCTGCTGTGTCGTTGCTGGTTTCGTGTGGTTTCTTTTCAGTCAGGAAGCCTTCTCCTGGGAAAAACTTGTTGCATAGGAGCACAGGCCTTAATTACAGTGGCAATACCTGTATTCCACGTGTTACCATAATCAGAGCTGACCTAGCTCGTGCTGTTGCTGTGAGCAATCTCCTTCTGCCTTGATTTACTATGTGCTGAGTTGTGTGACACACTGCCTTGGCTCTCTTGAAGTGACAAACAGTGGCAAACATTGAGGTTTGGGCATAGGGAGATTTTCAGAGGGTCCCTGGTGTGAGAAAACTGGTGGATTTAGGTGAAAGCTGAAGATGTGGTTTGATCTTAGCAGTTCCTACTCACACAGTGATCCTAAGACTCATGCTATTGCTTAAAATAAATTTGCCTTTAAAAGCTACTTTTATTGTGGCCCACTTTAAATGCTTTCGTGGGGGAAGGAAGATTCTGCTGATAAACCCTTCTTTTTCTGCTTTTTCCACAGGTAAACTTTAATGGTGCTTCCACTTTGCAGTGTCAGAAACGGGAGGCACTTGAAACAAAAGTGTGAGGTCCTCCAGTTTATTGCCTTTCTGTTTCTCTCTTTTTTTAAAAAGGCTTATTTGAGTCCGAAAACTTGCAGCTGAGGGAATGCTGTTCTGGCAGAACTGCAAAATGTGCTCTCATTAGCTTTGGCATTTTCCCCCCCGCCTCTTTTCTATCATCTGGGACAGAAGAGCATTACTGCAGTTAATTTGTCCTCTTTTGTAGTGGCATAAGTGCTATCCCTGGAAGCAGCTCAACTAGCTAATGTCTTTTAGAAATAAAGAACTAAGGATGTATTCCTAATCTGGGGAGCTAAAAATTCAATATGTAAACTGCTTGGGTTGCTGAGTGCATTAATGTTGGTACAAATGAACACTGTAAATCCTAATGATAGCAGTTAATATTTTATCTGATACCTGGGTCTGTCTTAATGCTCTGAGAATTAAAAACAAATCCCCCAGTGGAGATTTTTTTCCCCGTCCTTTTTAGTGTGCTCATAAGTCGGGCTTTTAAACTGCTTCTGAAATAATCCTGTGTCTTGTGAAGCTTTTGTGGGGGAAGATTCTCTTAAGGAAATAAAACCAGCTTATCTACTCCCCTGTAATGGGAAGGGAAACCTTTATTTTGCTGATGCTTTCACAAATAAGCAGGTTATTGTCTCACATGAAATTCTGTCCTGTAGGTAGGCTTAAAATCTGCCCGGCTTTTTGTCTTTAGCCCAGGTGGGGAAGTGGTAATAGCAGGGGTGAATGAATGCTATAATCCTGCAAAGCTGGAAGTGCATCCCTTCTTATTGCATGTGAGGAACATTTCTTTTGGCTGAGGTTGATTAGAAAAAAAAAATCCGCCTGTTTTTTACTCTGTTATCAGCAGCTCCTCCAGGGTTGCAGGGGAAGGGCTTCAAACGGCTTGGCTGAACGTAGGCTATTTATTACCCCTGCCTCCTCCCTGTAAAATAAGGAAGTGATGTAGGGCCACAGCAGGGAGGGTGCAATCACATGTTGTTCGGTGTAATAAAAACAGAGTACCTTTCGATGCAACCTTCTAAATGCCCTCTAGTTTTTCTAGGATTAAGTTAGTAATTCAGAAAGTAGAAGTCTCTCATATCTTGCTGGGTACTTTGGGACAGAGAGGCGCTTTAAAAACACTGATTGCGTAGTGAGCTGGGGACCTGAGAAATTGTATTTTGTTGCTAACTTGTCTTCCATGCCAACTTTCACTGGTGTTTTTTCAGTTCCTCTTTTCAGTATCGTCCTAAATTGATCAATCTCATCCTTCAAACTCTTGTGAGGATGAAATGACTGAAGGAGAAAGTGAGAAATAGAGAAAACTTTTCCCTGTCAAACTGTATTCTTTGTGGAGTGATCTCAAATTGTTTTTGTTTTTTGTTTTTTTTAAAGCAAAGAAATTTTTCAATGGCTTGGAATTAACATTATGAAAATCTTCTCTTGTTTGTTCAAAACTTGGGCATACCATTGAGTTACCATATATCAGTACTGGCGTGCATGCTTCTAGCTTGGGGTAACCTTAAGAGAAAATATTTTGTCTTGCATCTCAGTAATGGAAAAGTGAACAGAGGCACAGTACCTTCTTTATGCGGTAGACTAAGAGCAGAAAGGTGGATGTCTTTCCTTCATCCATGATGTCTTTTATGCATCTGAGCCTTTTTCTCTGGTCTTGTGGCTGAGGATGTACTTCTGCGCAGCAGCATGCTGGGGTTACTGTGGTGTTGTGCATCACAGACATCCCATCTGCACTTTGCTTGGGACCACCTGAAGCTCAGGGTCAAGCAGCTTGAATTTGCAGACCAGAGCACTGGTTTAAGGGGCTCTTGGAAAAGAGAGGGCTGGAGGGCCTTTCCAGTGGGTTTGCTTAGCCCTGTGATAGGATGTGAGATTTGCCACTGGTATTGGTTGAATCTAGAAATACCAATTTATTTTTAATTCCTGCCCCAGTGGAGACATGATGTGCTGCAGAACACAGTGGCTTCACTGAAGACTCTATGATTTGACAGCAAAGTGTGCAGTTGGCTAGGGTCTTCTGTCCAGAGCATTCTTGAAGAGTGAGATCAGTCTCTTCCTGGATTTATTTGTTGTATTTTAACTTTGCTATTGACTTAAGTGACTTCTGTCTAGAAGGTCATTCTCTGTTTTGATTTTTGGGCTTATGGCTTACAGTATCCTCCATCTTCAGGAAAAAAAAAAAGCACAACACTTTATATTTGGTGCCACAGCATTTTCTTGTCATTAGTCAAGAACAGCTATTGAGACACCAGCCCATTAGTGGCTCCGTTTCCATCTTTTAAGTGCAGTTCCAAAACTGAATGATGTCCTGGCATTAGCTCCTAGGCAATGAAGCAAAGTTGTGGTTAAACACTCCTTTCCAGGGATTTTTCAGAGAAGATTGTGCAAACTCAATGAAACTTAAGTACCACCTCTGGTTAGTTGAAAGAGGTAGCTCTTCTCTTAAATTCTAGGGTTAAATCAGCTTTGTGGTGACTGGCTTGGAGGACTGGGCATTAGCTAGGACATTGCCTAATTGCAGCGGTTTATGTGGCTGCCTTGTTTTCAAGGCTGATGTAGCTGGTGTATTTTTAAATTGCCCTTTGCCAAGCAAATGGGTGCTAATTTGACTTCTTGTAGCTGAGTGCTGCTCCTTATGAGGAGACCTGGTTTTGCCCAGGTCAGTCTGTGTCCCTTCAGCCTGTGCTGGGACATGGGTGATATTCGTCCTCTGCAATAGGTTGATGCTGTTGTTTTGCTGGAATTTTTTAGCTTTATGTTTGGGTTGCTTAAATATTTTAAAACTTTCTCACATTATATGCATTTTGCTGCTTTTCCAAAGTGGTGAATATTCAGTAGTTGTTTTTTGTAAGGAGTCCTGCCTTCCTGCACTGATTATTTGGAAGAACTTGGCTTTTTTTTAAGCTGTTTTTAGCCTTTCCAGTTGTATTGGAATGACATGTTGACCCTAAAGGTGACCTAAAAAAAAAATAAAGTGCTGCTTCTGTTGTTGGCTTGATCCAGAAGTGAGATCTGTAAAGCGTCCTGAGAAGGGAAGTTTTAGCAGCTTTTAGTTTAGTGGTTTGTTTATATCCGTCTTTGCAAGTTGCTCTAACCCCACCAAGAGTATGACAGTGTAGATGTCAAGGATGTATTCCTTCCAAGGTCTGTTAAATCTTTTGAAAGGCTGCATGTACTTTCTCTGTTTTTCAGAGAGTGAAGCTTTGTAGTGCTGGAGATGCCTACAGAAGGCTCTCCAGCAAAACTAGGCTTGATGGTAGGTTAAAAAGGAAGAGTGTTCTGAGGGTGGCTGAAGAAGCTTTAAAAAAAGTGAAGTAAAATGCACAAGCTTTTGTCTGTAACATACCCCC